ATATAATAGGAAAGGGGCTAGGGTCATGGTGGGAGCACCCCACACCCTAGTCACCACATTGTGATTTCCATTCATACCATTAACACCATCCCACTAATATATTCAAAAAAACTAATTCCTAATCTACTTGGGAAAACGAGTAGAAGCATGTCTTCCCCACTGGATTACCCTAAAAAAAAATCCAATTTGGGCGTGACTAACTATAGTGTTGATAATCACTTCACTATATCCCACGTTCGGATCAGCTAAACCAAAAAGAAAAAAAAAGGGGGGCCCCATGATTTAGGTCCCTAGTTGTAACGACCCAAATTTCTCTTTTTTTTCTAAGCATAAGGGAAGAGAGAGCACGGCGATAGGAGAAGAGAGTACACGGCAATAAAGGAAAAGAGCGCGTGGAGATGGGAGAAGAGAGTGCGCGGCGATAAGGAGAGAAGGAAGAGAGCATGTGGCAATAAAGGAAGAGAGCACGCGGCGATAAGGAGAGAAGGAGAAGAGCACGCGGTGATAAAGGAAGAGAGCATGAGGCGATGGGAGAAGAGAGCACGCGACAATAAGGAGAGAAGAAAGGGAGCGCATGGCGATAAAGGAAAAAAGCGCGCGATGATAAAGGAAGAGAGCGCGCAGTGATGGGAAAAGAGAGTGCGCAACGATAAAAGAAGAGAGCGTGCGGCTATGGGAGAAAAGAGCATGCAGCGATAAGAAAATAAGAAAGAGAGCGCACGACGATAGAGGAAGAGAGAGCGCAAGCACGCGTGGATAGAGGAAGAAGGCGCACGGCGATAAGGAGAGAAGGAAGAGAGCACGCAGCCGTGGGAGAAGGGAGCGCACGGCAATAGGAGGGAAGGAAGAAAGCACGCGGCGATATGAGGAAGAAGAAAAGCGTGTGCACGGCGATAAAAGAAGAAGGCGCGCAGCGAAGTAGAAGAATAGAAGGCCATGCATGAAGCATGCCGACCACCTGTTGACTGCTTGCAGCTTTGTGCGCCAAATATCGACCTTCCTTTCATGCAAAGGCCACTTGACGAGCATAGAAAGTCACCTTCGCACCTTTGGAGCACAAAACCACTCTTTCTCTCTCTCTACACGTCACGTTTTGAAGCTCAAGCTTAGCCCTTTGTGCCATTGTTGGAGAGTTTGAAAAAGCTTGGTGGAGGGGACTGTGGAAGGAATTTGGGATCATCTTTGGAGACTCAAAGTGGTAAGTAGGTCACTACCCTGTAGACCCATGAGCATGAATTGAAGCATGAATTAAAGCATGAATGATGTATGAATCATATATGAATGAAGTATGAATGCAAGCATGTATAAAGCATGATTTAGGCATAAATGATGGATGAATTTAAGCATGAAATTGGGCAACAAGGAATAGGATAGCAAGAATGTCGTTGTGCTCTGTTTTTTCAGAAAGTTTGCTTTGCTTTCTTTTGCCTGTTAGAAATGAGTACTGAAATCCTTTTGATGGCCCTGAAATTTCGTGGGGTAGTGCTTTTGTGAGTCTAGTTTAAGCTAGAATTAGTTTTATGTTGTTACCTTGCATAGATTAAGAGTTAGGAGATGATTTTGGAAAGGATGTCATGGTTGGACTGTGATTTTCTAGGGATTTTGACTAAGCAAATGATACCCTTTTGGCCTCAAATCACCACCAATTGAAAGATTTTTTTATTCTACTGTGAGTTTAGTGTTTATATCTAGCTGTGATTTTTGCTAGTTTGGAAGATATGTTTGATGTTGTGCTCATATGCCATGATTGGCAGACTGTGAGAAATTCTAGAAGTATTGCTTTTGTTTCATTGAAGTTTTGCCTGACCTATTGATGTCTAAATGATACAAAAATATAGCCATTTGATAGATGCATGAGTCCTCTATGATTTTCATGTTTTAACTTTGCCCAAATTCTGTACAAATGAGGAGCTATACTCAATAATGCTCTAGTATATCACTGTTGACAGACCTTATAAAAACTTAGAACTTTGGTCTCTGTTGCTATGGATTTTGGCGCACCAAATGGAGCTCAATCGCTCCGAAACTACAGCCATTTGAAATCTTCGAATGTTTACTAAGAGTTGCATGTTTAAATTGCTTCGAAATTCCTATTAGATTGAAAGCTAGGATCTAAATTGTGAACATATGTCACTATTGGTTGAATTCAGCAATGTTCAGAACGATATACGGACCCCTCAATTGATCAAGTATTGTTCAGTTAGCAAATTGGATTCAGAATTTAGTTGAATCTCCCTTCATAATTTGGGTGCCATGCCTCATATTGTATATGCCCATAATTGATAAAGACAACAACGAATTATAAGTTGCACATGTCATGCATCGATGTCTCTTTCAAAACACAGCTTAATCCCTTTTGCAAGGTGATTTAAATAGTATGCTTATGATCCTACAATGTTGAATGCTCCTGACCTTTTGAAAAGAGTAAAGTATGAATGAATGAATGATATGCATGCTTATACATGGAACTCTGTCATATGTGATTTCTGACCACTACGCAATGGGTCCTCCATTGGTAGTGGATATTTTGTTTCTGTTATATGAACTCTATCATATGTGATTTTTGACCACTACGCAATGGGTCTTCCATTGGTAGTGGATATTCTGTTTCTATTATATGAACTCTGTTATCTGTGATTTTTGGCTGCTACGCAATGGGTCCTCCATTGGTAGTGGATATTCTGTTTCTATTATATGAACTTTGTTATCTGTGATTTCTAGCCACTACACAATGGGTCTTCCATTCGTAGTGGATATTCTATTTTGCCTCCAAGTTTTGATTCTGCCCCGACTCCAATGATATGAGTGGAGTCGGGAGATAACTGTAAATAACAGGGTGTCGTGCCCCCAAATTGTTATTGGCACTATGCATTGGGTCCTCCAATGGTGGTGTAACACCTTCTCGCCTGAATGCGCAAGGAGAGGGCCGTGTCTTGCAAGGCCTCAGCCTATCAAAACCCTAAAGCGTTCTGGAATCGGGTGTGTGAGTGAGGACACTACGAAATGGGACCTCCATTTGTCATTGTCCTCCCTCCCGAATGAGAGTAGAGTTTCAAGTTGCAGGATTGGCTAAGCATGGTCGGTGTGACTTCTACTTCAGGATTAAATGTTTATGTTCATGTTTCTGTTTCTATTTCTATTTCTGTTTTTGTTTCTATCTGTTTGAATTAAGTATATGGATGATTGTCTGACTGCGATTGTGATGTGCATAAATGTAACTGCCATTTCGGGAACTATTAGATGCTCCGACTTCTGAACAATACTCATTTTATGTTGTTAAGATACATATTCAAGGGTATGACTTTACTTTCTAACTTCCATTACGATGTCTGATGAATTGTGGGCCCTGTCATTATTTATTAGCCTGTAAGCAGGATTGCAGGGTACTGATTTACTTACTGGGCTTTAAGCTCATGCCTCTCTTTTCCCTTCCATGTAGAGTGACAACCGATAGCTTGTACGTGGACAGCTGGACGTGGTAGCGGACTTTTGGAAGCTTGAGTTCTGTTCAAGAAGTTTGTGATCGTAGGTGTCTGGTGGTGTTGCCACGATGTTATTTTGATGTATTGTATTTTTTTGTTGGGCCAGTAGCACCTTGAACCTTTGTAAAAGAATTTTTGAAGACTGGATCAGTATAAATGATTTCTATTTTTTGCTCTGTTTGTGGCCATGTATTTATTTTAGTTCATAGTTTGCTTTGATTCGGCAATTATAACACGTGTTGATGTCATTCCCACCTGAATGACGTACACGACCTCTGGTCATGATCCTGCACTCTGTCGCCCTCTAGTTTGGAACGGTAGAGGTCAGGGGGCGGGATCGTGACACTAGTATTGTAACGTGATGGCATCGTGGTCAATTGTTTAGAGATATTGTAGCGGACAAAAGCTTGAGTACTTCACTTCAATAACCATTCTAGATGTTGAAGAAACAAGAAATATA